GCAAAAATTTTCAAGCGCTGGAAAATTCGATCATGCCGTTAAATAACCACTTAAGTGAACAAGCATTTATTTTTTACACCAAAAAATACATTTAAATGCATTATTTGCTAGTTTTCTTTTACTACATTAGGCCTAGTAGGTTTATAAGTCCTGAATTACATATAGCCAGTAATAAGAAACAGTAAAGCAATTAATTTCGTGAAAAGGAAATAGTATATAGTTTAATACTGAAGCTAAAAATTATATTTGGCTTTAAGGATAAAAAAATGGAATTTTTGAAATTTTGGTCAACGAATGCATTTATTTTAACTTTCTCGATTGAACCTCTACTTTTAAAGAGCAAGAAAAAAGTAGCCTATTTACAAAAATAAAGCATTTATATTCCAGATATATAGAAATTAATAAATTGATATATAAAATAACCGTTGTTTAGAAACTTTTTATATAAATTTTAACATTTATCCCAAATAATAGTAATTTTAAAAGAGATTTTAAAATGTGTTATTCTAGGAATACATATATGTGTGATAAAAATAATATAATATTTAAGAAATTTTGAGATTATTATTAATTTTGGAAAATACTGAAAGTGCTTTGCTGTTATTAAGAGGTGTAACTAAGGGATCTATTTTTAGACATAAAAAATCAAACTTTAGAAATTTAATTTCGTAAAAATACAAAATCTAAAAGAAATTACCGTTTAGCTGCTTAAAATCAGTTACTTTTATAAGTTATTTCTCCCGCCTTCTTAGTATGCCTTCGTGATGTAATGGTCAGCACACTAGGCGCGTATTCGAGAGGTCCAAGGTTCGAGTCCCGGCGAGAATATTGCTCATTTTTCATGTTTCCTATTTCGAAATAACCTAATGTCTCTACTGTGGCGCCCGAAGTAAAAAAGGTTCTGGATAATGATTCTCCACCACCAGGATTTGGCGACTGGGTCCCCTAACCCCGAGTCGCCCTTTCAAAGGGGGTGTATATAAGATATTTCTCTCACCTTCTTAGCATGTCTTCGTGGTGTAATGGTCAGCACACTAGGCGAATTTCGAGAGGTTTGAGTCCTGCCGAGGGCACTGCTCATTTTTTGTGTTTCTTATTTCGAAATAACCTAATGTCTCAAACACTTTAATCCTAAAAACTTAGCGTATTGTAAGTACTTTTAGTACTTTTAAAAAAACGTGGAATATGTATTTTTGCTTTTATTTTTTTGGAAATAGTATATGATGAAATGAGTTACAAATTTAGATTCATTCAAAATTATTAAATGAAATGATAACCAAGAATGATCGCTTTTCATAAATTTAAGTAAATACATTTTTCACTCGGAGGAAATTTCCTACATCTATTCCTCAAGAGATACTACAGTTACTAACGTCAGTATCGTATTTGAGATTCAAACCCTGGCTTTCCAATATGTAATCAGTCTCTGCTTATCATTAAATCTATTTAACGGCTAGGAACCGTTCATCAGTAACGTACCATTTAGTAAGAAAAAAATGTATTTGTTTTTCCTTTTAATTCAGTACGTAAATTTTAAATATCTGACCTTTATTTTGTTGACGAGAAGTAATTAAACAAGATTGGCCAATCGTAGTTTATTACAAAAATTGTATTTATTCCCTTTTTATGTGCTAACAGAAAACAATGCAGAAAAGAGAGAGAAGGAAAAAAAATATAAAATAATATAGTTTGAAAATTCCTATTTTCCTGGACTTTTATTTACAACCGGTTTCGTAAAACTTGGTGAAAATGTTTCCACATCAGATGTCAAGTTTCTGCGTCGTTTTACGTGATAACTGCAATGCAACTGCCCTGAACCTAACCACTACGTCAAAAAAGTCGTTTCTCGAATTCCTGAGGTTTTGCAATAGAGGGATTCGTCAAACAATCGAATTTTCTCGAAAGTGCAAAGATCTTTGATTCAAGTGATAATTGAAACAGTGCGAAACCATTTGAAACGTAAACTAAGTTATAATCCTAAACTCTCGCTGCTTTGCAAAATAACTCAATTTAGATCGATATTTCGTAGTTTTCAGTGAAGTTACGCTTGTTTTGTAGTTTTTCGTGAAGCCAGTCATTTTCAATATGACAACGACCTGGAGGAAATTGAAATAGCGACAACAACCGTTTGATTACTTCATTGCAAATAACAGAATATTCTTGGCATTTCCGCGCACTAACTGCTGCCAGGATGGTTACAGCAAAGAATAAAACACGAAAACATCTGCCGTGGTGGACAGAGAGGCTGAAAAACGAGAAGTCAATGAGCACGGCGAAGCGACAAATACCGTCATTACCCCCCGACTGATGAGATTTTCCTCTCGTTTTCTGTTTCTCGTATTCCCTCTCGCTTCCAGCTGAGGAAAAGAAAAGAAATAAAGTCTAGCAGTTTGATTTCTTTCAAGCAACACTATACAATTCACACGTGTGTCTTATTATTGCTTTTATTTCAATTTTCACGTGAATACATTTTCTTTCTAATGTATTCCTAAGTACTTAACGGTTCGGTCTAGTTTACATTCCGCTCATATTTTCAGATTTACCTTTTGAAAAAAAAAAAAGGAACTGAAATGATATGTTTAGATGTTGTTGCTTTCGTTTCGTTTAAGGTTCAAATTCATGTTCAGTATGGAGGGGGAGGGGGGTGAGAAAGAATTGCAATTCGAAAATTTTAGATTACATTCTAATGTTTGGAAGAGTTTATTATAGTTTTAATAAATTACCAAAATATTTTAAAATTTCAAAAAATATAAAAAACGTGTTTTCAAATACAATTTAATCTTTGCATGCACATTCCAGTTTCATGTCTAAAACAATTACGCTAAACAGTTGGTATTAGCCTAAATGTTTAAAAATTAATCTCCCAAGAATTCAAAATATAGAACTTAAAATCATATATTTAAAACAAGCTTCCAAAAATAGCAATCCCAAATCATAGGGGAAAAATTTTACTGGGACGTTATTTCATCATAAATTATCATAAGCCGGAAACTTAAGTTATTATTCAATAAATAAAATACTTAATTATTCAAGACGTAGCTGTGCACTTATTTCTCTGAATCGCTTGCCCATCTGGTAAGCCACAAATATTTCTCTTAAGTTAGAATATTTTTTATTTGTTTAGGAAGCGAAGTCCAAGAACCGAAAACATCTCCAGAAAGTTATTTTCTCTCCCGTCGATTATCACAACACCAAATGTTTGCTAACATTTTTAATGGTTATCTGATGGTATTTAATGTTTTGTAATATTTATCCGATATTTCAACTTTCGAATGGACTTGGACTGTTGTAATTTTCTGCCGTGAAATTTCTTACAATTGTAATTGGAACTATGAACTGATTGAAAATGTTTTACAAACATGGACAATAGCATGACTGATGCAATACTAATTTCAAGCCATGACAACCGATAATCTATTTTCGTGGCTTGTATGAATGTGAATACAACTATGCCTTCTTAAGGCAGAATGTAAGTAGTTAAAAATGGAAAACTCACGTAGTGACAAAGGTAATTTTCTGTCGAATATATTACTGAACTCACTTTGCGCGTTTTCTAACTTTCTGCACTTAATGTAAGAACTTTGTAAATTAAGAAAATGAAAAAGCAACATTAAAAAAATGTACGCAAATTCATACTCAATTTAAACATTATTTTACATTATTTCTTTTCTGTCTTTCGTTTTTAAAATACTTGAACCTGTATAGGAATAGAATAATAGAACTTACAATCCGAAGGTAAATTTGCGTTATCTCTAATAATTTATCATAACATGCTTGAGATCCCGGAACATTTATACCTGCCATCATAAGTACACAGGAGATATTATATTATATATATTTGTAATCATTCACGTACGATATGATGGCAATTCACGTACGATATGATAATTAAATACTGCAAACAAAAAAATTTTCTAGCAACCTAATACCCATATTAATCATGTTAAATTTATATAATTAAAAAACTATTTAATCACATCAAATTTTGCAAGTCAAAATATTTTCAGCTCATATAGAGTGTGATTTCTTATTCAGTTTGTATACGGAAACATTTGCAAAATGTATAAATGAATGCAAAGTATAAAGTGATCGCAGATTATAATTTAAATAGTAAAACAGGAAAAAACTTCAAGTAGGCTAAAAATATCTGCTAACTATTTGGAATATCACTGGAAATTATGCAACATGAATCGGGTAATTTTTAAATGTCCTATTTCATTTGGAATAAAATTCCTTTTTTGTTACGAATTATTTTTCTGTTTTCTATTATATGTTTCTTACGAATTATATACTTTAGATTTAAGACATAATGAAATTTTTAATAATAATTACACTTTATGCTTGCAAAATATTTCCTTTTATATAAATTATTTTTTATATAAAATCATATATATACATATGCGTGTGTTTCACTGTATTTTAAAAATTTTCACATTATAGAAATATTCGAAATTAAGTATTTGATATTAATATTTCTACTTAAAAACAGTTGATTCGAAGGCTTATGCTTAAAATATAATGTCTGAATTGTAAAGGTGTTTATTACCACCTTTATTACAAATGCCTACAAAAGTGCATTTTAGAATGAAAGGCAAAAAAAAGTCTTAACTACAGAGCATAAGCAATTTATTTTTTCAATCCTTTCGAAGTAATGAAAAGATAATCAAGTATTATATTAAAGCATATAAACTGGAATCATAATAATAAATTTAAATTACTAAATAATACCATTTATCTGGATATTTACAAGTATGAAAAATGCATTCGTTTGTAAAACTTATAAAAACATTATTGCATTTCATGTATTGGGGAAAAAGTTGCATTCGTTTTACAATCCTCATTTATTGCAAATTTCATAATTAAAACAGTGCCCAACGTCCATTTATATAAATTGCAAAATAATTATTAAAAATGAAAATGACTTTCAATAAGTATTCTATGAAAGAACATAAATTTTTCTGTAAATAAATGGTAATATGAATATTGGTAAAAATGCTTACCTTAATGCCATATCGAACTAAAAGATGAGCGAGAAATCACTTAATAATACTTTAATTTCTAATAGAAGAACGTCAAAAAGTCAAAGGTACACTAAAATTTGCTTGCTCCCAAAACTCTTCATCGTCTGCTCATCTTCAGGATAGAAAATCATCTGCCGCTCTCAGAGTAGCCGACACTGTTTCTAAAGGCTTGAGTTAGCTCGTTGGTTCTTCCGCGCCGATATTTCCAAACCTGATTGGCTAAAATACCACGCACGCGCACTGAAGGTCTTTAAAGATGAACAGTTGACTATTTTCTTTTGTTTTCTCAGTTTACAATAATGCAAGATAATTTAAAATTGGCCCTAGTTTTGGATTTTTGGGTCTTGAAATCGGACGTTTTCTGAATTAAGAACTGTTATTAATTAAAATAGTTATGAACATTAAACTTATTAAACTTATGTCATTTATTTCAAGGTTTTATGTTTACATATAAAATTCAATAAATGTGCAAGATTTTTGTTATGCATATTTTTACTGTCACAGTTTTCAATGAATAGAACACACAAATAATGAAGTTATAAAAATTTCTGAAATCAGTGTTTTTTTAATCGAATTTGGTGCCTGGTTTTTATCTTTTCATTTTGTTATATTATCCGTTCTTTCCGCAATCAAGGAATTGAAATAATACTTCTGTTCTTAGTTTTATAAGGGTCCACCAGTGACCGAGCGGTAAGATCGCTGAACACTGGTAGTTCGGTACGAGGTTCGAGGCTGCATGAGCGTTTTCGTGGTTTTCCCCGTGTGTAACGTGTATACGAGCCAGTTTCCCTTAGAAAGTCCTCCACGAAGGCATCCCTCCCTTAAGGCGAGATAGCCCTCGAGTGCTTTGCCGTAATCCAATAAAACCAAAAACTTAGTTTTATAAATGTCATTCATGAACTTGATAGCATTCCTCCTTTTTGCGATAAAAAGGAAGGCGATTATATAATATATCACTGTAACGCTTATTGAAATGTTTAAGTTTTGATGTATTTTCTTAAGTCATTATTTTAAATCAAAGTATAATCATAAAAAACTTTACTCTGATCAATAAAATAGTAATAGGAAAGCAGTAAAATGGTCACGATCACAAAAATTCAGCTTACGAAAAGAGCTTTCTATTAAAAATTTCAAAATGTTTCAATTTAGTGCAATTAAAATAGATTTTAGATCATCAATCTCTATGAAACTACTAATTTGAAAATTAATTCACAAAAACTCAAGGCACAGAACATATAATCATGCATTTAAAATAATATGTTCAGAATTGTTATGATAATATTCGGTGATAAGTTAATATTATTAACTTAATTAATGGAAAACATCAACATTAATTAATGGAAATTAACATTAATCAATGGGGAAAATTCCCCTTATTTTAAAATGCGATTAATACTTGCCTGCGCGTCAAGCTTTCAACAGATATTTCCAAGAAATGTCACATCATTTCAAAAGAGGGGACAACAATTTCTACTTGCTTTCTCAATATTGATAACAACAGCATTTTTTTTTTTGAGATATTTATGTCACTTAAGAAACTTCTCATCGAGTATTAATTCTCTTCGACTGAAGCTAAACAATAGCCTTTCGTGGCAAAATAATAATAAAAAACAGTGGTAAAAAATTACCTTTATCTTAAAAGCACATTTCTACGAGGGCGAAGAGCATGTAAATAGGAAATGCGCTTATAACTATTTAAGTCTGACTTTTAAAATTGAAATAAGAGTATAGATCTAACAGGCAAACTTTTACTCAGGCTCCGTTTATAATATTTCTGGATAGCTCTAAAGATAACAAATCTTAAGAGCGTATTTATAAATGCGTTTCATGTTAATCTATTTCTTATTCCTCAAAAGAAAAAAAATAATCTTGCAACTAATATTTATAAACCGTGTGAAAATTAAAAATAAAATTGCGTTCATTACCTAAATGAAATAAACTATAGTTTATTTTAATACAGGAAACCTTAAAATGAGCTCATTTGTCTTTTTTATCCGCAAAAGTCAAAATTACAACCTATGTAAATGCAATAAATCATCTTTATAAACTTCTGATTTATGAAAAATATCTTACATTTATCTTATCAGCCCAAAAGGGCCGTTAGTCCGAAATGGGATATTAGTTTCGAAACAGCATTTTACTTGAATCGTTATAAACGGCGTATCTTTTTCAAATTGTTGCCACCAAATTTTATCACCCTGTATTATATTTAAAGAAATTAAATAATGAAGAAGCTGCATGAATGTACGCATGTTCTCGCACTGTGAAAAAAAGCGGTACCTAGAGCCATCAAATTCTGAATATCGTAGTCCTCCACCAGAACATGGGAACTGGGAACACCGAATTTTGAATTTCGAATTTGTTTTATTATCTATTTCATATTTTCTAAAACATTAACGAATTTTTGGTTAGCAAGCTTAACGATTTCAAAGAGAGCAGAGGCAAGACTGTATAAAAAAGGTATTTTTATCTCTAGCTTGCTAGACTGTCTGTCGTAAATTCTAAAGATAAGCTGTTTCTAAATGTTTTGTGATTTTGCTGTTGAATCAAATTTTATGCGGCGTAAGCGCCAAGAATGTAATATTTAATAAATAAAGTAAACACACAAAATGTTAATAATAAAAAACAAAACAAAATATTTTGTAAAGCCATCTTAGTAAGAAAACTGAACATTAATGTGATAAAATGAGAAAATACTGAAAATTAAAACAGAAAAATATATCCAGCAGTTAAGGCTGCGTCGGGAATTCTGAACGTATACTGCTATTATGCTTTTAAAATTTTTATAATTTTGCTGTTGAACTGTATATGGCATAAGTGCGAGGAAAAGGATGCTTAATAACAAAGTTCAAAAGACAAAAAAGGGAGGGTAAGAGTGATGTAACAGTAAACTGGTAGACTAGGAGCTCAATAAGAGCATAAACCATGAAAATCTGAAACTTTTCAGATTTTTTTTTAAATTTCAAATATATAGAGAGAAAGAGAAGTATAGAATATTTTGTTCTACATTTGTTTTGAATCCACGATCATAGTTTACAGCAGTTGCAAAAGAGACTATTTTGCGGTATGAATCTCTTGCTCAGTCAAATTTATTTAGAAGAATGGAAAAATATAAATTCATTTTTATAATCAAATAGCATATGAAAAGACACAAAAAATAATTAATGATAATAAAACAAATAAATTTAACTTGTTTTAGTAATAAGCTATGATTTGAAAAGGCTTATTTTTGGGCCAAACTGATATATAAAAGAAATATTTATTGCACTTGCATTTTAAATTATTTAATTTTATTTTAAAGGAAAATTTTAATTAATTGTCAACAACTATTCAGAAACTACTGAGGAACAAAGCTACGTTTTGCAAACACAGAGTACACACTACATAATTGACATTAGCCGAATATAAAACGTCCAGCTTCTCAAACCCAGAAAAAGGTCTGAGTAATACAGCGTCTCATGCTATCAACAAGAGAGTTTCTCTTCTAGTTCTAGTCAAGTTAGAGACCACCACACTGTAGAAAATTGAAGTCACCGAAATGCGTACTTGCCACTTTTTAACTTGTAAATATAATTTTATCATTGATAAACTTAAATGACGTATCACGCATGTCTGCTGAAGGTATATTTCACATATATATAGAAAGTGTTTACACAATTTTGAAATCAATTTTTGGAATTAGAACTAAACTTATAAATGAAAATACTTATATCTAAATTTTTGTATCATGACTGATTCTTTCGACTACCAGTGTGCATCTTGACTTCAAAATAAAGTACATCTTCTATAGTCTGTTACTTTAGAATAGGCACTCCAAGGTCATTATAAACGATGACGTAACCATAGCAACGAATGCAGCAGAAGTGAGGTCGAACCTTCTAATTTCCTAAAATTCACTAATGCCGTCTGTTCCGTGATGACAACACATGCTACGATTGTAAATGAGGGCAGGGTTACTACAACCTTGAAGTGCCTAGTTTATAGTGACAAATTAAAATGCAGGCTAAGATATGTTGCTCCAGCCCTTTTCCACTTCTTTCCACTCTTTAGTATCAAATATTTTAAGTCTGAACACGTTTTTAGGTTTGAAAGCTCTCCTTTTAGCAGTTTAGAAGCACAATAATTTATTGATGTTACCTTAAAAGAATATGAGTAATATAGTAAGTATAGATTTAATAGAAGGCTCGCTTGCATTTTTTCAAAAAAAATTATCTGAAGATTTGTATATATGATTACAGTTTTATAGATCTGTTTGATGAATAAAATGATATAACTTGTTTAAATAAATTAAAAAGTTATTTTAATTATGCAAAGGATTAACACTTTTAGATTTTGTAACTTTTATCTTCCATTTTGAGAGAAATCACAATTAATTATAAATTCCACTACGTTCATTATACTTTTTCTGTTTTACTTTGCATCTTTTATTTATACATCTTTTATTGTTATATGCTATGTTTACTTTCCTGATAACGTTTGGCACACGAACTCTGCAACACATCTGAAAGATGTGAATTTTAATGGTCTTGATGCAAAAATAAAATACGTAAAAATACAAAACAAAGCAAAATTCACTTGAAATGAATTTTCCTAAGTTTAAAAGATTTAATTTACTTTGCACGTTTCCTTTCTCCGCCGAGTCAATGAAAAATGTTTCTTCACATGAATGTTTTTCGCTTTCTCTGCACTTCAAGCATTAAATAGCAAACATTTATTCGTCTTTGTATCTGTTACTAAAATTCTGAATAATGTTATTTGTGTTTAAAGACCATGAAAGCGTTTTCTTATACTTAAGTTTTGTTTAACATTTAATCTTTCTCTTACTTTAGTAAGAAAAAATTTCATAACTATTCTTTATTCTAAACATATTATTAATGTCATTACCCTTATTTAGTGTAAACTAAACAGTTGTTAATAATCATCGTAGTTTGTAGCTTTGGTCATTTTTATTATTAAACTCTTTAAATCTGAAATGAAAACACTCCTAAGAATAAAAACTGCTTAGACTGTCCAATATGTATTTCAAATAAGGTGTACAAGATGTTTCTCGATGTTTCAGAGACTGAACCATTAATAGCATTTTTAATAAACGATTTTGGTTTTGTTCCTCAGTTTTCTAAATTGTCACTTGCATGCATTATTTATC